TGACAATAAGAAAACATATTTTGTTTTAAAGTATGTCCAAGGACTCATAATTTCAAATGTCCAGTCTTTACTTTATGCGAATGCACTAATCATATAGGATGTTTGATAAAAAAAAATATTTGGGAAATGTATTTTTCATGTGGTAAAAATGTGTGAATGGTGGTCAGACTTTGACCCGAATGTGCGCACTAGTTCATATGTACATGTATTTATATAAAGCCAATTACAATTTAAACACTTGTTATATTGTATGTTATTAAAATTTCATAAATATTGCGATTGCAGTTTGTGGTCTGTTGAGCGAAAATACATGCACAAATGAAGAATAACCATCATGAAACTCTGATCAGAAGTCTCACTCAGTGGTGGTTCCATTTATTACCCTGCTGACCATATCCCGTCAAATAATATTTAATAATAAATTACAAGCAATATATAACTTGACCATGTGCAGAATCACCGTGACAACCAGGAACAATCACGCAATGGTCATAGAACTATAATTTCACTTCCGACGAGGTTGTCAGAAATGTATATTATGTGGTATCATAAACAACATGGCCATTTAATTTGAAGAGTTTCTTTTAATACATATTTCATGAGTGTTTTAGGTACATGGTTTTTAGACCAATACCAGACACATATCACGTGACCTAACCAATTTGGTGAAAACATAACTCCCGGATATGCTGTTGCAACATATAATAGTTTTAGAAACACATTGTAATGTACATAGGAATGGTAAAACAACTGAATATTATGGTGCTGTTCGTTTTCGAATAGTCTTGTCACTATATCACGTAAGCCAAAAGCTTAATCACAAAAGAATTATTGATAATAGAAAGAGATTAAGCTGACTTATGGCACTAATTAGACAACATGTATGCAGAGGGGACAATACAAAACGAGCTATCAAATTAGGTGGTCAATATTCAGTTTTGATGACCCAAAGATGTGTCAAGACGATAGTGAGCTCAAAGTATGACTATGTGATCTCTGTTATTATGGGGCGTGTGGCGCAACGGATAACGCGTCTGACTACGGATCAGAAGATTCCAGGTTCGAATCCTGGCACGCTCGTCTTTTTGTTTTAGAAATATACACTTGCAATGTACTCTTATTATAAAACTGGGTATATATGTATCATATAGAACATTATATAGTAAGGTTGTGCTGAGAATAAACTTCGGCAATGTAACTGTCATGGTATGATGGGCGACTATAACATTTTTATAATATTAAGAAGATTTTCTTAATAATTTAAGTACTCTCACAACAAATAGCATTTAAAACTGTGTTCTACATTATGTTGATTTGTAGTCACTGTGTTGTGTGCTATATGCACGTGTTTATCACTGGGACAAATGTAAAGGCTTTGTCGGTTCGGGCTGCTCTTGGACAAGAGTTCGTAGACGTTTTGAGAAAAACTATTAAATATATAAAAAAAAACTGTCAAAATGTAAAATGTCATAACGAAATACAAGCATATACAACTTTTGGATCATGGAGATAATTTCGAATTTAACAACGTATACAGGTCAGTATAACACTCTAAACCGAATTAAAATTTGACTCACATTGTCAGCGTGCCTACTTTGAAATAAGATAAACTTACAGTTTACCGAGCACTAAAATTCATTTAAGGGCGCCAATACACTTACATTACCCGTTGCAAATTGTCGCCGGTGTTGCCTCCGTTATATTTAAGCCAAGGGTGGTGCAACCCCTTTTACTCCAGCGTAAACAACAGATATGCATGTTTTTATTAATTGTATTTTATTTTGTTTGTTTTATTTTATTTTATTTAAACAGAGTGACACAAGTATTACATAACCATGTGGCACGATTTTTTTGGTTTTCATTGCCGTTAATCAGTTCTTAGAAAATCGCCTCCAGGCGACTGGGACTCGGACACGATATGAAGTTCACTTTTTTTGAGTTAATGTTTTTCATCATAATGTATGAATAAAATTGTGTCTAAGGTATTAAAATATAAATATAGAACATGGCTACATAGGATTACCGTGCATACCCAAATTCCACCAACTTTGCCGTATTTTCCAGTTGCCTATATGATCATCTAATGGGGAAATGATGTTAACATTGTAAAAAAAGCTTTGGATGGCTCATACCTATTTGCAAACAATCCAAAACAAACAGTAATGCAGTATCCTAATCGATTGGTATCCGTGAAAAATATGTTCAATCTATTCAAAAATTCATCATGCGGTATAAATATTGTAAGGGGTATTTTCTTAAGCTGTGACCAATTGTTTTTATTTTCGTAATAATGTAGTAATTTAAATTTTAATAAAAAACGTAAATTCGTAGACATGAGTAAGTTGTAAAATGTAGTCAGCTATTTAATTCGTCCGTCCGTTGTACGAGGATCTTATGTTTTGGAAGTATTATAAAAGCATTTCCACATTAAATTCATACGCATTTTCTAATTTTGATTATTATCAAGTACAGTAAAAATATGTAAAATGTAATTAGAATTTGCTTTATCTGTAAGTTTTTTTTTACTTCCTGTAACCTGTACCAGCAACCCCGGGCCCCTGCCCTCCCAATATTGGATAATAAAAGA